CTATAAGTTAAAAAAGCAAAACACTAACTTACTGCTAAAAGAAGCAGAACAATAGCTAAAAGTTAAAAGAAGCAGAACAGTAGCGAAAAGTAAAAAAAGCAAAACACTTGCCTATGGCTAAAAGAAGCCGAACTTTAGTTAAAAGAAGCAAAACAGTAGTTAGAAGTTAAAAGAAGCAGAACACTAGCTAAAAGTTAAAAGAAGCAGAACACTAGCTTACAGCTAAAAGAAGCAGAACACTAGCCTATGGCTAAAAGTCAAGTCAAAAATTATTTGTGTAGTGCATTTAAAACAGGAACTGTTACCAAAAGAAGCAGAACTTTAGCTAAGCACTAGCTATAAGTTAAAAGGAATACAATATTAGCTAAATACTTAATGTATCAAATTCCTGGCTAAAAGTAACAAAAGGCTAGCTGAAAACTGTAAGTAGCATACCAACAAAAAAAAAACTTTTTTTTTCTCAGTAAATTGTTTTGTCCAGACTGAGACAAAGTTTTGTAAAAATGTTCACCAACAAGGCTAAAAATGAAGAATATGCTGAAGCCAGATTAGTTGTTCTACTTTATCACATTTCTCTTAGTGACAACAATGTTTCTGAAAGAAGCTTGATCGGTAGTTCTGCAGAGAATAATTATTGACAAAAGAATTATTCCTCATGAAGAGATTAACCAACTCCTTGAATTGTTGAAGGCTGCTCACTTTTTGTCATTATGACACAAGGTGTGTGATGTGCAATAAATCCTAAAAGGGTTCATTTTGGAGCACTCGAGTTATAACAAAGACCTTCAATGCCCCCTGCTTTAATGCACTAAATGGCTCACTTTGTACGTATTTACATCCAGTCCTTTTTATTAAAGATCCAGCTCCTGTCTCGCTGCACAGCAAGCACACACTTGCTTACTCATGCACTCGTCTCTCTCTCCTCAGTTGTGTTAATTGGAGACTCGGGCGTAGGGAAGAGTAACCTGCTCTCTCGATTCACACGAAACGAGTTCAACCTTGAGAGCAAAAGCACCATCGGGGTGGAGTTTGCCACACGCAGCATTCAGGTGGACGGCAAGACGATAAAGGCTCAGATCTGGGATACAGCCGGACAGGAACGCTACAGAGCCATCACTTCAGCGTAAGTTCGTCCTTGTGCCGAGCTCATAAATCTCCTTGTCATGTGACACCTGCAGAGTATCACATGACATGTGTCCAATGGAGTGTCCAAGAAACAGTTCCAATTTTGAGTGTTTTTGACAACAATTATCAAGATGGTGATTTTTTTGTGAAGTTAGCTGCATCAGGTTAGGGTTATTATACTTTAATACTTTTACCTTACAGTGAAAAAGATTATTCACACTTGGAAGACAATCTGTTAAGCTTTCCAAGCTTGATGTCCCGTCAAGTTAACCTCTAGATCAGAGCTCACAATGCTCAGAGAAATATATATATATATATATATATATATATATATATATATATATATATA